GAAGGGGAGGGGAAGGGGAGGGGAGGGGGAAGGAGTGATGGACAACAAAATACGGGCGCTACTAAACGAAGTCGAAAAAGGCCGTAACCTATATAAACCAAGATAACAAAAGCTAGGGTTCAAGAGAACAAAGGTCTGCATTCTCTCATTCTAGTAATTATGCTTCAGTGCATTTTAAAATTGTTGATGAAATGGGGTAAGTCAAAAAGGTACCGTAGGGCTCCTTTTAAAGTACTTCTGCTTGAATGCATCAGCATGAACACCGAATTCGGCGAGGGAGTATGACCGAGAGGATTGGGCGAATCCGATGGGTTCGAAAGGGCGTGAAATAACCATACGAATGCATTGGGGACACCTCCAGAGATACGTGGGCACATCATTCAAGGGCGGATTGAGACAGTAGGTGTGGTAGATGGCCTCACAAGACTTAACCGAGCATATCATCAGTTTCTCCGGATTGGTACCCCTGTGGCAAACTTTACAGACTTCATTGCCCTCCTGAGATGGAATAAGCAGAAATTCAGACAAAAAAAACTGAGGAAAACGGTTGCAGGAGTTAAACTCAACCTAATCAAGTCTTAATAATCTTGACGTAAGCCAGCAGGCACACTAAACAAGGGAGAACAGTGACTATTACAGCTCCTATGAAAAAATTATAACATTCTTTACTCCCTTGAAAACGATGCACTTACTCAGTAAACAGAAAGAATTAAAGCACACAACCTTATGTACAGTAATAATCTGGTTGCTATGGGAGGATTCTATCTCCTCGAGTTGGTTATTCGCATCCTCTTAAATTAAACAACAAACTCCATGTCAACAAGTTTACTGTACTCAGCGGAAATTATTACAGAGGCGGCTCTAACTAGAACAAATGGAAGTCGTAAGCAACTTCACAAACTTTACTATCACGAGACAGGCGGTGGGGAAATATTTTTACTAAGAGAAAATAGAAGGAATGCGAGCACTGCAATCGACGAGTTAAGATTGTGAGTGAGTAATGGACACAAGGGAGGTAATAGATGAGAGAAATCGATTAAACGCTTAGAAGTGGGGGAATGAGTTATATAATCATGTTGAAATGAAAGAGATAGATAGTGACGGCCCATGATCAACTTCCACTGCTAACTGAGATGTCTCCGCAACGACACCTCAGCATTAAAATAACAGCTCAATGTAGGTGAGGAATAAAGTCACCTCCCCATTGTATCTTTACATCTCTGCCCGAAACTTTATTTCACCTGGTCTCTAGGACTCACTTGGCCTTTCCTTTCAATAAACTCTGCTCATCACAACTCGATCATCTTCCACCGTGAAGTACGGAGAAGATAGTATATTGACAGCTTAGTTGGGCTCTAGATATTTCAACAACCCTTCCGTTTCGTCATGTGTGTAAAATAAGAGTATCGACCATTTTTGTGCAAATCAAAATTATTTAAACGGTAAATTTTAAACCCATAGTGCCTTGTGCTTTCAAATACGCAATGGTGTAAGTTAAATTTTCGAATGCATAAATAGACTGGCCTTAAGGCCGACATATTTTGAAGAAAGCATCGCTATGCTCATTTGAATTTCTTGTCCAGGCAATCACTAATCCCTGGACCATAACTATTCTGACCTCACAATGGTGCTTGAAGTGTTTGACCCATCAGCAACCTCAGGACTGTCATCAAATCCATAGTTGTATTTCAAAAATGAGACGAGCTTGTAAGATCAGAATCATAATAAAATGACGGCTTTTCATATTTAGCCATGTCTCCTTTGATTAGAAATTAGGAACTTTGATTTGTTGTGATTAGGCGGAAATATAATACCTTCACTGTGACACAGACGACCAGCTAAAGATGTCACCACTAACTTCCCCTCTCACCAACAAATGTTCCACCTTTATTTGATGAAAAATGCTACATTTCTTAATCCAAAGAGAGCATTACTGAACCTACCACAGGGGAAAACCATTCTCAATCATACATGTTTTATTGTCAATCAGTTTGCTATCGTGTATCAGTGGACCAGTGACCAACGTGCAATTCCGAGGTCAGGTGACCGATGACCATCAGTGGTTATATGTAAAAGTGGATGACCAATCACGTTTGTTAAAGTTGATCTACAGCAAAATGGTATAAAGTGAGCTTACTATCACATTTTCATGTACGTTTCCTCTACCTAAGTGATGTTAAAAGTCACTTTAATTGGCATAATCAATGGGTCAGGAAACTACGATATCGATTTCGTGTACATTACGATTTAAGCAAAATATGAGAAGAGCTCATTATAAATGCGAATTACAAAGCGTTCAGATCAACAATCTGTAAATATTGAGAGTATGTAGAACCTAAACACGTACCCGACAGATTTGAAACCCTTGTCAGCATGTTTCCAAATTTAACGCGAAGAACGCGTGTGAAAATTGGAAATAAGAAGTGCACTTATAACTGAACAATTTGACCATTTAGGTATAGGAAAAATAAGCATGCGACATCTATTCTGTGAATGTGGCACAATCTCTCTGGAAGGCCTACATGACTTTACAGTAACGTTAGACAAGGCTCTGTAACGGGTGTCTACCCTTAGTACATCAATACAGCTGTCTGTTACCTCTACTAGGAAAGAATGTTCGCGAAGCTATGAGTAACTGACGAATCCAAACAAATTGTTCCAGAAAGAACTTCAGCTTTCTATACCTGAACTAACTTATGAATGCATTCGACTAAGAAGAAATTAAATTTAAACTATAAGCCAGGCTTAAAGACTCTAAAGTAACTAAATCGATTCTAATTAAAAGCAGTTTAGTTTCTTTTGTATCATTTTAAGTGCTAAACAAGGTACACTGATTCTGTTGCCGAATCATCATAGCAGAAGAAAAGTTCATCCAACAAAAGCTCCTGCCTTCTCGACAGATGAAGGTGAAGCCATTCGAATTGGAACAGTCATTCTGAGGATTAATCAGCTTCACGAGCAAATTAATTTGACTGAACATTATTTATTTCATCCCTTCAAATACCGTAGGCCAAAATGTCTGTATTCTACTATTAAACGTTCTTTCACACCTGTTTCCTACATGAACACGGTATTACAAAGCCCCTTACTTGACCCCTTCCCTCCAATCTACTTTAACAATAAAATCACAGTAACAATAAAATAAGCTAGAAAATAACAAGAATTTTAGCGAGGAGATAGGCATTTTCTCAGACGATTAAAAAATAAATAACTCAATTAATAAATGACAACAAACAAAAACCAAACCGACGATAAAAAAATTACAACCATCAAAACCAAATCTTGTCTTACTTTTCTGAAAAATATCAGTTCTACAACCCAAATTTCAAAAGAAGTAAGGGCAATTAAATAGCAAATCGATGAATACTAAGTGAACGGAATAAAAAAGATCAACTGGAAACACAAATAGGTATGTTACCTATGATAGACAATTCTCCCTACCAATAAATTAGCAAAAACTTTAAATAAAGAAACGAACTAACTAATTCCGGCTTAAAACATACATTTTCCTGTACTTCTTGCCCCCCTTCCACCGCATCCGAGGAAGCGCTATCTGTAACGGGTAAGGGTATTTTTGGTCCTGCTCCAAAGAACTGGAGATTTCTCAGCTCTTTATTAGCAGAATAATCGATTCTCAAGTCGTCTTGAACTTCTGAATTGCGTAATCGGGTTCTCTTTGCAGGAGAAGATTTCGCACTGATGACACCATCTGGAGGTCTTTTTAAGATATTATTAGCCACGGGATCATGATACATTATTAGCTCGTATTCAAGCAGAAGCTTTTCATAATACGTTTTCATTATTGGGCCATATTTCGTGCTGGTATAACCTAGTTTTTCGGCGATTTTACCCCAGAGCATTGAAGAAGTAACATTAAGGTAACCACCTTCATCCATTACGTACTTGAAGAAAAAGTAGAGATTAAGATACTGACCACCAATAAAGGGGGCTCTCAGTTTTTTATTGCCATTTAGTTGGTAGAACTCATAGAGACGAGCCTTGAATTCGAGTTCTAAACGCGAGTGAGCTTCCAGCTCATAAAGACGCTGAATACGAGGAGTGAAACGGAAAGTTCGAACATCAACTCCGAATGGTGGTTTCCATCCCTTAGGAGGGATGATCTTGCAAATGCCAGTTTTTATTCCAATGGGACGGATTTTTTCAAGATAAAGCAATGGGTCCTCAAATTCTTTCAAAGTAGGGTGAAAAACAGGGGCCTCCGGAGGGGGAGTAAATGTAAAATTTGGCATTTTTAAAGGGGATAAATGCAAACTGATTTTAAGATCTGGACAAAATAAACCCCTAAAATGAAAAAAAAACAAAAGTAGAAAAATGAATATTAATAAAATTGCGAGTAAACGAAACGTGACCACAGGATTTTAACAAATCACAAGAAAAAGTATCAACATTCCGTAATAATTAATAAACTAAGTCATTTATACGACTTTCTAACTAACTAAAAGATAAGAACTCACAGAGTAAATGATGGGTCGCAGTACTTTGTGAAATGACCTTGGAAAGACCGCTGAGGAAAGTGAACCTAGTTAAGAAAAGCAGAAAATGTCATTGTATTTTTAAGATTGAGCATTTAAATTTTTCCGTTATTCAAAATAGAATTACATTGAAGAGATTCAAAAGTCGTACCACTAAGCGAAATAGCTCGTAAATGAAAAATATGGTTAGAATTGTTTATTTAAATAGTATTAAATATACACTATGACATGCATTATCTTTAAAAAATAATAATCAAGTTCAATTTAAAACACTATTTCATAATCAATAAAGTCAATTTTATCTTGTAACGCGTTTAATTAAACTTATTCGGTTGCTTCTCAGTTGCGGCAGTATTGAATTATGTCTAGTGTGGGTTTTCTTGGCAACGCTGTCTTTTATTTAATTTTATTTTAATTGCTTTACACTGTATACTATAGTTACAGAAAACAATTCAAGAGGCCAATGCGCGTGATATTACAAGAATTGAGCGAATCGGCGCTCATTCACATATTCGCGGTCTCGGACTTAATGATGAATTAGACGCTCGACAGGTTTCACAAGGCATGGTTGGCCAGCTTAAAGCTCGAAGAGCCGCAGGCATCGTGCTTGGAATGATTCGTGAGGGCAAAATCGCTGGTCGCGCTGTACTTTTGGCTGGTCCCCCTGGTACCGGTAAAACCGCCATTGCCATGGGCCTCGCCCAAGCTCTTGGTCGCGATACTCCATTCACTGCCATGTCCGGAAGTGAAATCTACTCCCTTGAGATGGGGAAAACTGAAGCTCTTACTCAAGCCTTCAGAAAGTCAATTGGAGTTCGCATCAAGTGAGCCCCTATTTTCCAATTAATATTTTATTAGAGAAGAGGCGGAAATTATTGAAGGAGAGGTTGTTGAGATTATGATCGATCGTCCTGCAACCGGAACTGGTGCTAAAGTTGGAAAGTTAAGCATCAAGACCACTGAAATGGAGACTGTCTACGATTTGGGTCAGAAGATGATCGATTGTATCGTTAAAGAGAAAATTCAAGCTGGGTAAATAATGATAACTAAATTTAATTTCTTCCCTTTTATTTAGCGATGTAATTACGATTGATAAACCATCTGGAAAAATTACAAAACTCGGTCGCTCATTTTCACGTGCCCGTGACTTTGATGCCACTGGAATGCAAACAAAATTTGTCCAATGCCCGGAAGGTGAATTACAGAAACGCAAGGAAGTTGTCCATACTGTCACTCTTCATGAGATTGACGTTATCAACAGTCGCACTCAAGGCTTTTTGGCTCTATTTAGTGGTGATACGGGTGAAATAAAACCTGAAGTCCGTGAGCAGATTAATTCCAAAGTAGTCGAATGGCGTGAGGAAGGAAAAGCGGAAATCGTTCCTGGTGTTATCTTTATTGACGAAGTTCATATGCTTGATATCGAGTGCTTCTCTTTTCTCAATCGTGCTCTTGAATCTGACATGGCTCCTATTTTGATTATGGCCACTAATCGTGGTATTACTACGTATGTTAACTCTCTGGCTTTTATTAATCTTTATTCTTTCTGTTTTTTAACTGTTAGTCAATGTTTGTAGTATCCGTGGTACAAATTATAAGAGTCCTCATGGTATCCCTATTGATCTTCTTGATCGTATGCTAATTGTCCGAACTGAATCTTACACGGAGAAGGAGATTCAATCGATTTTGAAAATTCGTTGCGAGGAGGAAGATGTGGATATTGCTGATGATGCCTTGGTTGTGTTAACTCGAATTGGATTACAGACTTCACTACGTTATGCAATTCAACTTATTACTACTGCCAGTCTTGTCTGCCGTCGTCGAAAGGTTTGCTAGAGTTTCACCTATTTCATAAAAATTTCTGACTTTAGGGAGTTGAGGTTAGCAAAGAGGACGTGCGAAAAGTGTATACCCTCTTTATGGATGAAGCGCGATCTTCACAATTTCTAAAAGAGTACCAGGACTCGTTTATGTTCAGTTCTGAAACCCCCACCACTGAACCTATTCAATCTAGAGGTATACTTAGCTCCCTATTTACTTTTATCTGTGCATCTTAACAGTTAAATATATGTCGTCTTTGCTTATTTTAGGGGATGTCCCAGCTGAGACTTCCTGAACTTTTTACATTGAATTTTGCTCATTTATGTGTATTGTCACCGAATGTATGGTTTTAATAAACGACTAACGCAAAATCTAACAGCCGGCTTCTTTTTCATCAAAACGAAATCTGGAGCCTATAAGTAGTACATCGCATCATTTTACGCCATGTTTATTTAAGTGGAACTGGACGAGTAAGTCCTTCAGGAAGCCTATTTTATCATTTTGTTGAAATATTACTTGTGCGAATAAAAACCATTTCAATCAAGCTATAGGCTATTAAATGAATCTTCTACGTATTTAGTATTTAAGCTGTGTGGATCTATGGCTGCTCGTACAATCAAATTGGTGTTGACTCAGAAGTACATATAAATGACATGCAACAATTTTCTCGAATTGTAATTGCTAACTTATCGTAATGCCATTTTTTCAGCTTAATCTTAGTCATCTCAAAACAAAAAATAATGATACCACAAGCCATCAGTTGTCAATTACTTCTTCGTGAATCCATAACGCCACCATGGATGATCGAGGGAGTATCAGGCGATCTTAGTCTGGAAGGTGTAGCCGTGCTACTGAAGTCTTGAGGAAATGTGAAGTCATGTGTGCAGAGACCTCTCAGGGATAAAGAGTCGCTCTAATTGTATCTTAATTACTTAGTCTTGTATCAGTGTGATAAACGCTTTTCACTCCATAAGCTCTATCACCCCCATACCCAGCTAATTTCGAGAAACATCTAGTAAAAAGGGGGTTTTCCCAGATAAGGCTACTAAAGTTTAGTTAATCCTTATTTGTGCAGTATTCGAAACCATCAAAACGACAGCTTAGATACCAAAGCATGGCTTTACTAAATTTTGGTCACCTTCAATGTAATTACGACATTAACACCAGACGTACCTGAGATTGTAAAGTTGGTTGTATTTCATAAGATCTCGATTTCAAGGCCACGTATGGAAGGAGGTTGGAATGTAATTTAGCTGGAGCTGTTGCGATTATTAAATTCATGATCGACTAACTGGGTTGCACGATAGACTTACCTCCACGTGGTGCATCTGGGGAACGTATACTCATACGGCAAAATGCTTATACCGGCAGTTGACTTCAAAAAACCATGACCTCGCTATATGTCATATTTCACAGTACTCACCTTGCCTTTTCCCCAACCTTTGTGTCTGTCTTTTTTACATCTGTTAATCATTATTCTGCTCCTCTCCCAACATTTTGCCATGTTGATGATCCTCCTCCTCTCTGTGAAGCCCAAAGTCAGCCAAAGGGCTAATGATAGCTATCAAAACGCCTGCCATTTGAAATAAATATTCTACTAACTCCCATAGAATTGATAAGTGAACTTGATCAGTTGCCTCACTAAGTGTGCTGCGGTGTCCTCTGACTTGGCAGATATGCACTTTGAACATTACGCCCATTATTGACCGAATCATCGTTTCAGATCTGATATAAAGCCTAATAACCTAGTCTTATTTATTCATGTAATTACCTTCAACGCTCTATGCTGGTGTTCTTGAAACTTGTGGGTTACTTTTTAGAATCAATTATTTCGTTTATTTTGTTTAAGAAGTTATGACTGATGTTCTAATTTGGCTCCTTCATTGTATTTAAGCTAAATTTCTAAATATTTACTGATCTCACCCATACCCGACATAAAATAAAAAATAGATAATCATTATATATAACCCTTCATGTCCTACTTGGCCGGGAAACGGAATTACTGTGATCGAAAGTTTTCTATTCCTTGTTA